GGCGGCTGGGGAGGCCCTCGCACGGGTCCCGCCCGCCCTGTCCAGGGGATGGACGTGCTGCGGAAGCGACATTGATTCGGCCCGCGTGACCGCCCCCATAGCACGCCGATGCGGGTCTCATTATTAGGCAGTAAAGTCTAATCCTGGATACCTTTTATTAAGCCGGTCGTGTGTTGGGCGCTGCGCCGGCGGGGTGTCGTCAGCGCGGCGTACAAGGCGAGGAGGAAGCGCGCCCCCCTGCGGTTGACTGTCTTTTGAATAATTAACGCGACAGCTCCCGATTGTATGGAATAGAGTGTCTAGTGGTTCGGAGCCGTGTCAGCCGGGGCTGATCCGGTCGTTCTCTGCCGAGCCCCCTCCCGGCGCGTCCTCGTGTCCTCGACGAGGGGGAGGGCCGGAGGCGCCCGGCTCTTTGGCCTCGCGCCCAGTGTGCGTTTGTGGATACACTACCCTCCGTACACTCGGGCTGTGTGTACCAACATGGGCGGGGTTGTGAGCGATGCGTCGGCAAACCGGATTTGAACCGGTGCGATCCTGATGAGGGAGAAACATAAACCGTAGATCAATAGGAGGACAGGCGCCGGCGAAGGGACGGGAGAGAGGGGGGCTCGTGTCTGATCAGGGCGCACTGGAGGGACTGGGCACTGGACGGTTGTCAGGGTCGAGTCCGCGGAGCGCAACGTTTCTTATGATCATTTAGTCTCGGTGAAGCTAGTGCTGCTGAAGCCAAGACCCATTATTTGGTTTGAATAAACTGATTTGCCTGATGAGAAAACTAAAGCCAGCCTCAGTCTACAGATTACCCCCAAAACAAATGACTGGGTTGGCTTCAGCTTCACTGCGGCTTCACCGAGACTAATTCAATCATTACACACCGATGTGTCGCAGTGTCGCACGTTATTGCACTTCTGAAGCGACAGTGTAGGCGAGGTCTGCAAATATAATTTTCTTTGCTTAATTAATGCCCGTGACATGCGCCCGCTCTTGATGGGCGCGGCATCGGTAATGACATGCATGCGGTACTGACCATGGTACAGTATAGTCGTTCGGTACGCCGTAGTGAGAGGGCTGAAACGCCTGTCGATTGGTATTTGACATGGTCTGGCATTTGCGTGTGTTTCAGGTACACTTCGCTTGGCCACCCGAACAACACCCACAAGAACCCCACCCTGCGGACGGTGGCTGAGGACGGCACAGAGACTTACGGCCCGGCGTGGCAGCTGCAGGACGGCTCCACCGAGAGGGATGGACGCTGCTAGCCACCGGGCGAGCGTCGCCGCCGGCACGTAAGTAGCCTTCAACTTCAACCTCATTGAGGGCTTACGACTTCCTGTTCTTAGTCCTTTCCTCGTCATTCATAATTTCGGTTGTGACCGAAGCTTTTCAGCTCTCCTTACACGCCATGCTTGTTTAATGTATACACATTTCGGAGCTCCACCGTTTCACTTTCTCGTGAAAGTTTCATTTCCGTAACGACGACAGTCGATATGGACGGGCGCTGACCTCGTTCTTCTTCTGCTGCCCTTCCAGGCTGGCACCGCTGACGCCGCTGACGCCGCTGGCGCGCGCGCTCCGCGCCGCGGAGGACATCGTGTCCGTGGTGTCGGTAGCGTTCGGGCCGTGGGGGCGCGGCGTGCTGATCCGGGGTGCGGCCGGCGACCTGACCATCACGCGGGCGGCGATGGACATCCTGGAGGCGGCCTTCCCCCCGGGGGAGGACACGACCCCCGAGCACGTCGTGCTGCTGCAGAACGCGCGCGCGCTGCGCCAGCGCACAGGGGACGGCGTCAAGAGCTACTTGCTGACCACGGCCGCCCTGCTCCACCAACTGCAAGGGCTGCAGCGCCGCGGCGCCGTCTTGGCCGGCGTGCACGCGGACCTGTCGGGAGCGAGCTCGCGACTGTCCGCCATGACGCCGCGGCCGACCTCGTACGATCCGGTGGAGGTTAGCGCTGCGAGCGTTGCCGAGTCCATCCTGGCGACGCGCTTCACGTCCGACGTGGCCGCGGCCGCGTTGCCTTCTGTGGCCACCCTGCTTCAGGACGCTGACGACCTGCGCGCGCACCTGGGTGTTCTCTGCAGGCGGCGGCACGCGGCTGGCCGCAGCGTGGCGGACTCCTTCGTGCGGGACGGCGTCGTGGTGGACGGCATGCTGCGCTTCGTCGCCGAGGGCTGCGCGGAGCGGCGCCGCGTCATGGTGCTGGCCGGGGACGAGAGGGACGACGCCGTCGACGTGCAGGCGGCGGCTGCCGCGGTGCTGGTGGACGAGGCCGTGGACGCGACACGCACGCTGGTCGTGACGGCCGCTGTCCTGGGCGACGCGTCGCTGCTGGCGCTCCGGATGCGCGGCGCTGCGGCGCTGCACGGCCTGACGCCCGAGGACGAGCGCTTCATCCTGGAGTGGACACTCGGCGCGGGGGAGGCCGGCGCGGAGGTGGAGGTGCGCGCCGAGCCGCAGCAGGGGGCGGTCTGGCTCGGGCTGCCAGGCGTCAGACAGCTGCAGCTGCACGCTCCCACCCAGCAGCTGGCCGACCAGCTGGCCTCGGCTGTGCGCGACGCGCTACAACTGCTCACCTTCACCAAGAGTGTGGTGGTGCCCGGGGAGTGTCCGTTGGGGCCGGGGGGCGGCTGCCTGGAGCGGGAGTTGCACCGCGCCCTGGGCGGCGCGCCGCTGGGCCGCGAGGAGCTGCTGCGCTGGCACCAGGCTCGCGGCGAGCCGCGCACGCGACCACACGTCGTTGAATCGGTGCTGCCCGCGTTTGACGGCCTCGACGCGGACGTGCGGAAGGCTGTGGCCGAGGCCGCGGCCGCAGTGCCCCGCGCCCTTCCCTCCGCCGCGGGTCGCTCGCCGCCGCTCGAGCCCATGGCCCTGCGCCTGGCAGTGATGCAGCATTCGATGGCTACCGTGGGTACGCTATTGTCGGTCGATAGGGTGCTGGCTGCCAAAAGGACCGCGGACTGAGCATATGGGGGCCTTAGCAAAAATTTAGTTTTGTCAAAATGCCTTTTTCTTACTATTTGTATATAAAATGTTAAAAGCGTCCCTCATATTTTTTCAGGTGTCAATCAGTAGGCTAAAGTTTCAACCTAAAGCAGCAAATTATATCACTTAAAACATGTTCTAAATACTCAGCTTCTTACCTGGCAATGCTGTAATTTTTCATTTCAAATCTGCAATTTGTTCTAAAAAGTCCAAGATGTCTTTGCTTATAATTCATTGTGATCTGGATCTTCTATCGGTGCTAATCTATCAAATTGAATTTTTTAATGAGGTGATAAAGGATTTTAAGTAACTTTAGGATTTAAATTTTATGATAACTTCATAATGGATCTATTTGGTACTTTGTTTAACAAATGTTACCAACCCAGTTACCAACTTCGGCCTCGTTTTCTCAAATGATATTTTAATGGATCTGTTACTTTATGTCAGGGCTTACAGATTTGTCCACCGAATATATGTTCTCTTTAACCATTGCCTCACACAGGGGCACTGATTAATATCTCTGGTCGGACCGGTTTTTACGTTGTAAATTATTAATAAATTGTGCTCCAAATCCTGTCCAAAATCTGTGTCCTCATTTTCCTCAAGCGTTCATAGCGGGTGCCTCAAAGAGCTTCATTCTTTCTTTTTTAATTCTCTGAGAACATTTTAGCGGCGCTTCAGAATCCTTTCCGTGCATAAAGCTGTCAGCACACAGACCAGGTTGTCGGCAGGGGGGGACAGCTCGACCCCGACCTCACCGCTACAAGTTCCTCGGAAGCTGCCAGCCGCTCAGTCCTTCCAGACAGTTTGTCTGCTCTGCGGCCCTACCCCTACCTCACCCTTTTCCCTCCTCCCTCCCCACACCCTCTTTTTCTCCCTCCTGTGGCTTTCGGTGGCATAAAGATATGGAAGAGAGACGGATATAACGACCTGCCATACTAGTAAAGCAATCCCACGCAATCCCCGATTTATTGCAAAGTGCATGCACCGACCGAATCGACCCTCGCTTCTTGTAAGTTACCAGGTGGCTGACGTGGCTGACTAACACCGGGCACTGGGGCACTTTCGTAGTTATACTGTACTGTACCGCATGCACGCGTGCGGGCGTGTTGCCTACTTGTACGGGGCCGTGAGCAGCCGTGGGCGACGAGGTTAGGCAAACCCGCGCGCACCAGTACATGCGACACAAGTGTGACCACGAAAGTGCACGGCTTGAGTCAGCCAACTGCTGGGCTGCGATGACCGAGTGGCGTTTTTCCTCATAGCGCCCCTCCCCCCTCTGGCCGCCCCCGCAAAGGCCCCGTCAGTGTGTTCGCCGCATGTGGAGGCACGACGATGGTAATCACAGGGGGGCATCGAACGCCCCGGCGACCGTGCGGGCGCTCGTATTCAGGAAGGTCCGGTGTGCTCGGATTTGGAGAGTGGCGGGGCGGTCCCGCAGAGGGGATACCGTGGTCGCGGCACGTGAGCGCCGCCGCGGCGGCCTCCTGCACGCGCCTTTCCCTTCGAATAAGAGGGCGGAAATTGAGTGACGGGCTAAACGAGACGATTATGCTGTATTTCGTGATTGCCGCATTTTCTCCGCGCGGCGGCGGTCCCTTTCAATCTCAGTTAGAATTATTGGACTTAATCGGCTATACCTTGCTGCTCGAGGAGGAGGAGGCCGACGGCGGCGTGGTGGTGGTGGCGAGGCGCGCGGTTTGGCACGCCGGTGACATACAGTCGCACGCCAGGGCAAGCACGCGACACGCGAGGGGGCGGAGGAGGGGTAGGGGGGCGTTCCGAGAAGGGTGTCCTGACCCTGGTGCTGCCCTCCACCCC